TGTCTGTCTGTCTGTCTGTCTGTCTGTCTGTCTGTCTGTCTGTCTGTCTGTCGTTCATTCTGTTGTTATATCGTTCTGTCAGTCGGTCGGCCTGTCTGGCTATCAGTCTGTCATTCTATAATTCTGTCATTGTTTTGATTGCAAAGTTTGCCAAAGATTGCCCCCTAGCAAGGGCAAAGAGTACAAAAGAAAGTGAAACCCCATTGATCTGTCTTTCTACCTGTGTCCCATGGTACTTCTTAAGGACTCCATTGTAAAAGATATGCTTTCAGGCGTCCTAGATAAAAGACAAAAATTAAAATGGCTGCAGAATTAGTAGACTTATCAAGAACTACAGATTGTGGAATTGTTATTGTGAACAACAAGAGTATTATAGCCATTATAGACCTTTGATTTAAAGCCTGAAGAAATGCTGTTAAAAGATCAAGCTAAATAAAAACTGTTGTAATTGTTTATATAGTATTAGTTTTTATTCTAAAAACATAGGAATGGTTCTGCTTTTAAGAGAAAAGAAAACATCCATTGTTAGGTCTTGTTTGATGTCTGATTCTATTGCTTTTAATGTATCCTCTAATTTAGTTTGAATATTCTAGATTTTCTTTTGAACTGACAGAAATGGAAACGATTTGTCCATACAGACGTATTGTTCTCTGGATGTATCATACAATTGCTTGTACAGGAACCGCAATGCATAAGAGTGCTTTTCACATCCTGCCAGTTTTATCACTCTATTGATAAAAGGAAAATGGTCTAGAGGTATTTATTAATTAGAGTTTGTTTGTTTGCTATTTATCGATTCAATCTTTTTGGTGAATTACAGGAAATTTCCAGATCCAAGAATGGTCTGATTGTTTAGGCTCTAATAGCAGTCCATGCATTAAGCTTGATATTTTTGTGAAATAAAACACACTTCAGGATCATTATGCTTTTCAATGGCTCTTTGTTATAGACATGTTTGGAGCTCTCATTTGAGCTCAAATCAGTCTTTATTCACCTTTCCTCTGAGTGCTCCTCTGAATGAGTAACTCAGAGGAGCATGTCAGACAAGGTTAAGATTTTGGGGTCTCTGATGTGTTTGCTCAAAGGTTTTTAGAGTTTTCTTCCATCTCCACCCCTTTATTTAGCTCTGTCAGGCTTGTCAGGATAAGGTGAGCTGTGCATCATTGCTAGCCTGAGGGAAATCACAAACACAGACACTATCAGAATTATGGGAAGACTCGTTGGGTGCAAGCTCCCTCACCGCCACAGGTCGTTAGGAGTGATGCTGAGGAGATATCTGTGAAATACACTGGATAGAATTTGTAAAATAGATTAAATTCTATTTGCATTAGCTTATGTTAAAGATTTTGTTGTTGAAACAGTGGTTGCTTTCGCAAATACTACCACCAAGGTTTGGTCTTATACACTCGCTTTTAAGTTTCAGTGTCATAATTTTATAACACCGAAATATACTACACTTCAGTCAGTCATTGTTATTTCTGGAAATAGTAGTAGTTTGTAGCCCATATCTGCTTCTCTTAGTCCTTTTTTTTATGTTCAGCTGTTGGGTCCAAGAACAATTGAGGGTGCTATGATTCACGATTCATTCTACACAGCATAACAATTCCTCATCTGACTGTAATATCAAATATCTATTCACATTTTAAAGCAGATTTAAATGGTAAAATTGTATTGGTGCACATTTATTTCTCCATATGCGCGTTAGAGTATTCGTAAGATATAAAAAAATCATGTTAATGGATGTATCTTTGTCAGCAGTGAAAGCTGTTAATTTATGCCACTGCTTTGGACACAGCTGTGCAGACACGGTATCATCTGTGCTGATTTAGTGAAACACTACACAACCTGCAGTACCATGCTTGATATATCAAATGCTCATCACTTTGTTTGTTTGTTTAGTGATGTTAAGTTGTTCCTGACATTGCTGTTCACTCCTCAGTGCAGGCTGGGAAAGTTATAGTGATAGAGACATTTAATGAGATGCAGAACATGTATTTCTTTCCTCTCGCCCCTTTGCTCTCCTGACCTACAGGATGTGACTGAGCTACTTCCTCCTTCGTGTGATCTGCTTCCGTTGCACCCTTCTCTCATTAGTTGTTTTGGAACTGCAGTGCTCAGCAAGTACTGAAAGATGACAGGCCAGTTTTCTTCTCATTAGAGCAGAGGATCTCAACCTTTGTATCTTCAAGGTCACCTAATGTCAAAGGTCCCCTCTATTAAACTAAAATAAGTTAATTTTGTTAGTGCATGTTTTTTAAGAAGACAAAATTAGACATTCACTGTGACTTAAACTCACTTGCTTTGCTCAGCTAGCCTAAAACTTATTAAAGGAAACACGGTTAAAAATCACTTGAGAAAGGTAATAAAACTAAATTTGCAAATATGTTTTAGATTGACTGAAATTCGTTGGCAGGACAAATTACAAATTTGTCAATTTAATTTCCCAAGGTTCTGTGCTGCCAAAAAATTTTGAAATGAGAACTCAAAATACACGTAAATGTACATGCTCTTTATTTACTCCAGATAAGTCATTTTTTATGTAGAACTATAGCTTCGTATTTAGAGGAATTGGCATTTTTAATATAACATAAATTAGTTTAAATGATTTTAAGACATCTTGCTGTCCCAGCTTGTGTAAATGTAATTGGGTATTTTATGGTGTTGCAATGACACATAATCCATTTAGATACATAATGTTTTTGTAATTGCACTTGACTTGGTTGTTCCTATAGTGCATTATGTGGGTGCTGTGGGTTTGACTTTGTATATGTTAATGTCTCTTTGTGTGTATGTGGGCGAACCATTAATTAATCACCAGTGTTAAATGAACTCTTTTGTAGAGTTAAGTTTAAGTTTGCTGTAATTTGTACACGTTGATTA